TAAATAAATATATCTTACATATCTTATACTACTAGGCCTTGGTCTAGCCTAGTAGTAGTACCCAAGGCTAGCCTAGGCCTAGGTAGGCTAGGCCCGAGTCTAGCTAGTTAGGGCCTAGGCCTAGCTATTTAGGAGCCTAGGCCTCGAGGCCAAGGCCTAGCCTAAGCCTTGCGTAAAAAAAGATAAGCCATTGTTAAGTGTTATGTTTCCATTTCCAATTAAAGCATTTTTTAAGTCTTACCTAGTTTAAATGTACGTCCGTATCGTATACACCTCAAACACTGAGATTTTTTTTTAGTGTTGACGTTAATTTCACGGGAATTTACGTATGTTGACGCAAATTTACCTACATTGACGCAGATTGTTATGGTTTGACGTAAAATGACGCGATACTACCTTCAAAAAAAGTTTCCCTATGCTAAAAATGGAAGAGCCAAGCCTATGTCACTGTTTTGCAAAGCCTGGCTGCTTTGCAAAGCGTGGCTGACTTACGTCTCACTGCCGGTCTGCAGCAGGATCTCTATCATGTGCTTGAGTCGTGGGCTATTTTGAACCGTCCATTTTGCGGCAGGGTATTCATTTTGTATTATAACTATAAATACACATGCCTAAACATTACCACATTTAAACATGTGTATTAACCGTTATAATAAACATGTTTAAATATTATATTAATATTCAAACACGTGCACTAACTGTTATAATACACATGTTTAAATACTATTATAATAAGCTTCACCAGGCACACAATGGTTCGGTCTTGGGATGCCAGGGGTAGGCGCTTCAGTTCAATCTTATTATTTTTGTTTGTTATGCATCATAATTTTTCCCGATTTTTAGGTGTGAACACAAATTGTATTTTCTTATAATTATACTGTGGTATAGACAAGAAGAACAATTCCCAGTAAAAAATATTTGCGGGAAATTCAGTAGTTGCTTCAGTTCGTTACGGACTGCCAATGCACTTTTTGACATCACACAACACCTAAACATGCGCTTCCGATTATAACTTCTTTTTATTAAAAATGTAGGAATATGTTAAGAGAGTATTAATTGTAGCCTAGATTGTAGGCTTGTTCATTACGTTTGCCGTGCCTGACCATTGTAAACGAAATATCTCTAGATCACTAACCTTCCTAGGCCTAGTACGCGACCTTCGCAGGCCGCCGGCAGCGGGTAATAAATTTTAGGTAAGTAGCGAATCTGTCACCCGACCTGTCACTTGTGACAGGGGGTTCGATGATCGATTACCCTAGTAGGTCGGGTAGCAGGACCGAATTCGCTAAGGGCTGATTTTCGGCATGGAGCAGTGAACACCCCATGTATGAGAGGTGTCATCGGTTATACTGACCAGGTTTAGTTGAAATCGGCACAACCGTTTGGCACTATAGTAGCGTTTTGAAATGTTGCCAGAAAAAAGATTAAAATTCCCCACTTAATGACCTTTGACCCCTTATCCCTGAACACCCTATAGACTGCCTATGCCAATGTATATGTGCAAAGGACAAGACTGCTACGTTATTTGTGAGACAAGTAGTCTTTTATACGATTTTTGGTTTTTTGACCCTAATGCCCCTTATGTGACCTTTGACCCCAAGTTGTGAACAACACATAAATGGGGGGGTGGCACCGGTCCTACTGACCAAGTTTTAATTAAATCGGTCCAGTAGTTTGCCACTAGTAGCCTTTTAAAATGTTGCCAGAAAGAAGAAACTGCTCGGAAACAAAACCCAGTCAGCATGCTGCTGACTGGTAGACCGTGGGTTGAGGCTCCAAAATCGGCTTAGTTAACGAATTCTGTGACCCACCGATCCGTTCACGAAAGCAGTACCCAATCACAGCACACTTACCATACCTGTTAAGCATTGATGAGACGCTATTAGCCAATCACAAAGGTTCTTGTAAACTCGGTAACTAATGTAAACAATGTCGCCAGGAAAGCGACAATGTGTAGCAATCTGGACGAAAGTTCTCCGGTTTTAGTGGAATATTTCAATATGATATAAGTATACCAGCCTTTTAATAAAATACATTGGTAATAGTTGTAAGATTTTAGAGGTAGTAAATTGCATTTCCCGTCTTCTGTCGACTGTCATACCGTAGTTTTTTAAATCCAAAGTCGACCGTGCTGTACTGAATGTGTATTGTATTACTTATCTAGGCCTACATATGCATAGTAGGAAGGGCAAGAAGTAATGTTCATCGACTTTTTATGAGACAGGAAATTCCTGTAAATATATAAAATATTTTGATTCTATTTTTTATTTTTATTTTTTTTTCTATAATTAAAAAAATGTACATTTTAAAAGAAAACTGAGGCTGAATTACTTTAAAAAGAACACATTGAGGCTGATGTAAAATTTGTTTTTATTTGCATGCAATGTAAATAAATAACATTAATCAGTATTTCTTGCCATGCCTGTTGATTTTTGTTTAACTGCTTGAAGACCTTGGTAATAAGGACTGAATTAATGAATAAAAGTAAAGCAATTGATGATTCCAATAAGGTGGAACAAATACATTTTTAATATACCTAAGTTCAGCCAGTTGCATCCCATCAGCACTTTCATTATCTCTCTGATCACTCACTGGGTATATACATTTAACTACACAACAGTAAACACAAGGTTAAAAGAAGTTTATGACAAAAATCTGAACTTTTATATGAATATAATTGAAACACTCTAGCACATCATATACCTACACAGAACTGCTTTAAACATAGCTGGATCAA